AGTGGGTTGACCGACCCTCTTTATAATTTCGGCTTATAAGCCAAGTATTTTGTATTTTACCTAAAATTTTAGGATCCATACGTAAATCACTCAAAAATGAAAAAGAACAGCATTAGCAATGAAATTTTGATCAAATTTTTATTAGAATATATATAATTTTTTTGTTCCCTAGGTTAAGCTTATAACTCCCCAATCTTTCATGTATTTATAAATAAACTAAAATAAAACAACGCGCAGACACATCGTCCTCTCCCATATCTGTGGGATTAAATTTGAGCCATCTGATTTTCTCTTAAGCCGGATGGCTGGCAAACTTTTTGAGAGAGAGACAGAAGCCAGTTAGATGGGGCGTTCAATGTGACCGGATTGAATCAGTTAAGGGTTATCACTTTCGAATTAGTGAATTGCTACAAGACGAGGAGCGTGGGACGTGCAATTACATTAGTGGCATGCTTGTTGGGCTCTACTCTCCCTCCATCACCGTTCAACCTATCCTCCATCACCGTTCAACCTATTGATAAGAGGGAGATGACCGTCATGATTATATGGATCATATAATTATGGGTCCCTTTATTTTCAAGCTCATGACGTCTGGCATGATGCCTGTCTATACTGATTCAAAATTCATCTAGAGAGATTGAAAAATAAAGATGGGAAAGGCTATGGTCAACATGCTAACTATGGTCTAATATGAATCTGAAACGATCTAAAGGTTTCAATTGTATTTCGTATTTAAATTTTTATATTTTTTTTTATAAAAATTTAATTTATTTGAAATTTGAAGTATCTATTCTTGAAAAATATACAAACCTAATTAAAAATATTGAAAAAATAATCTACATAAAATAAATTGATTAAAATAACCCTGAAAGTTATAAGGGTATTTTGGCCAATTTATCTTTTACAAATAATTTTTTAAATTTTCTTATTAAGTGTGCCTTGATGTAAGAGTGGATGCTCCAAATTTAAGTAGAATGGGTTTGTAGAGGAAAATTAAAATTAACATACGAAACACATTTGTGACCATATCGACTCATATTCAACTTGAGCTGTTGGGCTTATACTATGCCATGAGTAAGTGGGTTGACAATATATTTTCCCAATACAAATCAGACACTAAATAAGGGTCATATAAGATAACAAAAGGGATAGTATAAAAGGCACCAATCCTGAGAACATTTATTCAATAGCCAGACACATTTATTTAATAGCCAGATACATTTTTATTTGATGTTGGGAAAGCATCATCATCCAGATACCATGCATATAAACTGAGAGGAAGGGGGAATAACAGAATTGCAACAATCTCTCCTCGGGCATGATACTTTTCCCTCTCTGATTATGTGTTTGCTATTGAACTTCCACCTTTATGCAGCCCTTAAGGAGTGGTGACACCTGGGAACAAAGAATGGAGCTCATGTCAAGAGGGTGCATCAGTGTTCTGAAACTGGGTTGAGTCCACTCCGACTCACCCGAGTTACTCAGACTCAGCAAGATGCCGAGTCTGAATAGGAATAGACCAAACTTAGCCAGTTCCTACATTTCAGTATTATAACTTGCCCATACTCGATGTAGTATGCACAGATGACTCGGACTCGAGACCTGCCGAGTCCAAAGTCTGAGCTTTCTTTATGACATGGGTGCAAACAAAGAATCAAAATTATGTGCGCAGACAGAGAGAGAGGCTTACTCCCACACTTGAAGTGCCGGGGAACTCTCCGGCCGCAACCTTCGACGAGCCTCACAGCCCGCCTGACATCCACGAGTGCAGCCAACTTCGGGGTGACCTTCGGGCAAATGCACTCTGTATGGGCTGTCCGCGCAATCGCGCAACACTCGGGCGATGGAAACCCACGATATACCACCGATATGCATGCATGAACCGCAGTGCTCACCTCCCCTTTGCACTGGGCTGCACTCACTGCACCCACTAGTGGTGCCTCTTCCCAAGCCACCACCATGGCCACCACTAACATTAGCTCTAAACACCACCACCATTTCCCATCCATTTTATTTACTTTTCAGTGCACAAGCAATAAACAAAACACACATATGGTTTACACATATTGTGAAGGTGTATATCTAGCAGAGAATATGAGAGAGGTTAAATCCGGACCAAATTCCTTTTTTCCAAAGTCAAGCCAATTTTTTCTCTATGAAACCAAGGATTTTGGCTGCCACCGACTATAGGGCTAATATTTTCCAAGTCTTTCCTCTATCCCACTAGCATTAGGTTCTTCAACAGGTAGAATAATGGTATAGGCGCCTTGACCGTCTGGTGGTGGGGTATTCTGTGTGTCACAGAGACAGAGAGAGTAATCCTAGCAATTGTTCACAAAATCGGCCGACTGATTTCTACTCGGGCGAGTTACTCTTGCCGAGCCTGAGTTGTCCCCAGTTGGGTTTTTAATTAGGGGATATTAAAAAAATTCAAAAAATAATAAAATTTTTAAGAAATAAGAAAGTTATTTGAGATATTTTTATTTATGTTTTTTATCATTTTAGCAAAGAATGAAAGGGATTTGGCTATATATACTTACTTTTATATTTTCCATCTTTTTTTAGATTATTTTTAAAATACCCCAAATCATAAGTTGATTTTTTTAAATTGATTTTTTACTACATTTTTAAGAAGCGTTTTGCTTAATCTTACTTTAAAGATAGACTTCCTCTTTTTTTTTTGAAACTTTTTATATTCTTTACATAAATTTTAACTTTGGTTTTTGCTGCTACAGTGCTAAGGGACTAATTGGCCGAGTTACTCGGACTCAACCCGAGCAATCGGCTCAAGTCAAGACCGTTTACCCGATCCGAGTTGCACTTTATAACATTGTTCCTAGCACCCATGTGAGATAGAGTTCGTAGCACTCATGTGAGGGAGAATAGGTGAGAGAGAGAGAGAGTGTGTGTATTTTAGATATTCATCTCTCATTTGGTGTGGAGCTGTAACGCGGAGTCCTTAGGACTAACGTAGTAAGTTACTACCTTAGTCCAAGGCTGTAGCGCTAACTCGCAAGGACAACGGTAGGGTTGGAGCTGTTATGAGGAGTCATTAGGACAAGGGAAAATTACGTCAATACTATTTTATTTGATTGTTATTATGTGATGGTCCAAAAATATGTAATATTTATGCTGAGGTTTTTGTCATCCTGATTTGTCATTTTTTTCAAGTTTGCCCCTGATTCAATGTTACATCGTATCCATCTCCAAAAAATGAGCTCTAAATATAGTCTAATGTTAGAAATATTGCACCGCTTTAAAACTTTTAAAAAATCAGGTCTAAATGTGTTTCGATGTTAGAAACATCGGACCTCCTTAAACCTTTTAAAAAATAAGGTCTAAATGCGGTCCCATATTAGAAACATCGTACCGAAAGTAAACTTGTTAAAAATAAAAAATTTCAAGAAATCCATCTTTCTGAGTAATAAAAACCTATTTGGGACCTTTTCGTTATAACAGTTTAAAAAACCAGTATGGATGTAAATTTACCTTTGGACTAAAGTAGGCCGCTACACCCAAAGCCGACTGAGGCAAAATACTAAGGCTCAGACCTATCTTAATATTCCTATCTAAGATTCTACCTAATGGAATACCATTCTATTGAAGAGCTATTCACTAGTAGATACCCACTTGGATAGGACCCTACACTTGTAGATACCTACTTGGATAGGACCCTACACTTGTAGATACCTACTTGGATAAGACCCTACAAGCAGTACCTACTAGGAGAAGACGGATTGTGGCCATATCTCCCAACAGAAGACCATCCCCTTATCTTGGGCCTGCAACTTCTTGTCTTTTATCTTTTATTCTAACTAAGTAAAAGGAGTAAGGCTCAGACCTATCTTAATCTTCCTATCTAGGAAGCTGCCTAATAAAATACCATTCTATCAGAGAGCTACTCACTTGTTGATAGCTACTTACAAGCATTATCTACTAGGATATGACTGATTGTGGCCATATCTCCCAAGAAAAGACCATCCCGTTATGTTAGGCCTGCAACTTCTTGTCTTTTATATTGTATTTCAGTCAGTATTGTGTTTTATTACATTATTTAACTGAATTTATAAGTAGGATCAAATTTCTACCACAGTTTTGTGACTCATCGGGGTCGAATCGGACTCGGTCGAATTACTCAGCCTCGGTAGGGTACTGAAGCAAGTAAATGCATCGGTGTATAAAATTGGGGGTGAGTCATTTTTACAGTACTTGGGTCGTATTCTAGCAACTCGTATGACGGCTCTATTCTTCTACAGTACTTAAGTGAGTTGCCACACTACTATCTATACATCTTGATATCGAGATGATCAATTAGATAGTTTGCCAATGTCAAAATAGCCTTTTTCAATGGATTTTTGAGGTACACCTTAATTCTGTCAACCTTATATAAACTTCCTACTTTGTTATTTGGTAATGTCCATCTTGAAATTATCTTGTATAAATTAATAGGTAGTTTTACATATAAATTTATATTTTGTAAAAATTAATTTGTTGAAAAACACATATTGTTGGCCAGAAATAGCAAAAAAAGTTGGAAATTGTTGAAAAATTTAAATAGTTAAACAATATCATACATAAAGGATAACACCAGTTAGGAGGAATGATTTGGTCCAAGTAGAATGCTCTAAAAGTGGTAGCGGAAGATCCAAAAACACATCGAAGGAAACAGTTAAAATGACTCACCCCCAATTACTGTACTTGTGTTTTACAGTACTTGTGTTACAAAATTTGTATAGCTGACTCCAAATCATTGGGATAAAGCTCGGATGATGATAATAAATTTAATAATATAATATATAACACAAGATCCGTTTCAAGAAACTAACCAGATAATATCTTTCAAGGTATATGAATTGGGAAAGCATATAATGAAATCATTTACTTTTGGTACAAGGTGGTCACAATAATATTGACCATCAGATGTGAAGTTGGGTGGTTGCAATTATTCTATTGCCCAAGCATAAACTTCAAAAGAAAATTTTTCGAACTTCATGACACATCCAAGCTATCAAATTTCACATCAAACGGTTGTAAAGAATTGTGACCACCTTATCCCAAAAGGTACATGGTCTCATCATAAACAATCAATCCCATATGAATTTTAAAAGTCTTCTATAAATAAAATTAGTCATCATCCAAATAGGTCCTAAATCCATACATCTACGCATATATAAAATCAGTCATCATCCAAACAGGTCCTAAATCCACACATCTACGCATATATAAAAGTAGGTATATGTGAAGAGAATATTATAAGGTGTCTTAGGGGCAAACCCCTTTTCAAAAGTGAAACCATTGTTTTTCTTGTGGAGCAAAGTCTCGACCAAACAGTGTACGGAAACGAAAAAAAGGTATTATAAAGGGAAGACGAAACTAGTGATATGGGACCGACCGAAGGTGCTCAAGAAACAAACTCCCTCTTAAATTTCAACAAAGCTACCGCTTTTCTAAGGTTGTTGAATCACTAGGTAAGTGCGTCCACTAAGCCCTATGATTCCGAAAAGTTTCAAGTGCTTAGACTCTATTTTTGGGGCTATATAGAAGTGGCAAGACCAGTGCCTAAAAAATGGGCCCCTGACCCCGATCGCCCATTGACCCGTATGTATGACTGACTGGGAGGTCTGGAACAGTGATCTGGCGGAGTCAATTGGTCAATAAAAACATATAAAAAACAAAAATTATAAAAGCACAATTAAAAAATAAAAGGTGGAATTGGATTAGTATGTTCTCTGATAGAACTAGACTACCAGTTTTTTAATCTAAATTGGGTGATTCTAATGCAATTTGGTAAGTACATGCGGGCAAGGCGGCAAGGGGAGAGTTTGAATGCTCTTACCACCTTTATTTTGATTTGTTTATATCAAACCAATGTTTTATAACCTGGCTTGGGCCTTGGCCCCTTCCAAGGCCGAGTTACACCGTCAAGTTTGAGTGGCCTTAGTCGAGTCTTGTACCAGACTAAAATAGACAGAAAATTTTAAAATATAAAAATATTAAAAACTAATTAAGAATCAGCAAAAACTAAAATATGCAACAAAAATCATTTAGTCTATGAAAGATAAAAAGTATACAGATGATGTATTATTGAAAATATTGATTTATAATTTAAAATATTTTAAAAAACCTAAAAGGAAAAATAAAACAATTAAAACATATAGTTAAAGGAGAAAGTTTATATAGAACCTAGGCTCTAACCAATCAAATTAGAGCCTACCTCAAAACTTTCACTAGAAGAGATTGTTTTGATGCCTAAATATAATCAAATTGATCATCTCGACATCAAGATGCATAGAAATTAAAAAAAATAAAAATAGATTTCAAATTTTAGAAATAGTGCATCTTATAACGTATTTTTGGACCGTCAATTTTTTAAGATTTTCAAGTTTTCATAGATCGGCTAGATCTACACTATTTTTTAAGCTTTAAATTTTATAACTAAAGATAAAAATATAATTTAAATCTATCACAAAAACTTTCCGGTATTAAAACCATATTTCTTGACACTATTTGAAGGTGGGCTCTAATTTGATTGTTTAGAACCTCGGCTCTATACAAACCGCACCCATACTATAAAGTTCACAAACCATAATAAAATAAAATAAATGAAAAGGAAGACACAATTTTGTTTCAGAAACTTTTGTGATGGTTTGAAAATCCATTTCGACCTAATTATAAAATTTAAAATTAAAAAACTAACGTTGATTGAGAGAGTCTTTAAACACTTAAAGTTTTGAAAATTGATGGTATAAGATGCTATTTTTAAGACTCAGAAATCTTTCCTTTTTTCCCTTCCTTTTTATCTACATATCTGGCAAAGTTTAATGTCAAGAGAGTTGTCTATATTAACTATGGACGCGGTTAGGGCTAAGCTCACACATGTGGAAATGAAGGCTTGACAATAGATATATTTTTTAAATATAATTTGATTCTAATTTTTGGAGTATAATCTTTAACACGGAGATCATAAATATCAAAAAAAAGAAAGAAAAAAAGAACCTAGAAATAATAATTATATTAAAAAAACATTTGAACCGATAGTTACAATTGTTTTTGGATGGACCACCTATTTGCATCCATCTTTAATATGGATGTT